GCACAGCCTTCTCTGCATAAGGGAGGGTGTTCTCAGGGCTGTCTGTGTGCCTGCTGACCAGACTGCATGCCCCTTGACTCAGGCTGTTTATGTGGTAGACTGACTGGGAAGTGAGTCCTCTGCCCATGAAAACCAGTCAGACCGTCTTTGCCTGCCACACTCTCGGGTGTCCCAGTTGTCTCCGTAGTTACTAGATTAAGACTGGCCTGTCCCCAGTACACAGGGCTGCTTTGACCTGCGTCCTGAAGCCTGTGGCTAACATTCCACTCTTTCTATGTTCTCCTGTGTGCTCGTGTGTTTACTGTGTGCCCATAAAGACACACTCAGAAGGTGTTTCCAAGGTAAAGTGCTGAAGCGTGCTGATCTCGGATGCTATGTGAAACGAACATGCACCCTGTCTGGTAAACTTCTGAACAATCCCAAGCAGCAGTAGCATGTCCAGTCTGACTTTTAAAAGCAACAGCCGCCAGTATTCTGATCCTTTCCTTCTAATGTCATCTTTCTCCACAAAGTGAGTGCTTGGACCTGGCAGATCCGAATCAGAGCAGAGCAGATCTTCTTTCTGCATGTATGAAGGCCATGCCTGTCCCCCTCCTGTGTGGGATGCCATGTCTACCAGGGGATGTGCCCCCTGCCAAACCACCCCCATTACCCATGATATGTGATGGAGAGATCAGAATGTTTCTATGGTTTGCTGAAAAACTGTAGAGGTAGAGGAAAGTTGAGTTGAACATGTTTTCAGTGCATTAAATCTTTCCTTTCAGTATCTTATCAGGCCATACCATCGTGGATGAATACCTGCATGAGTATGCTGAAAGCATACTTTAACATGTCACACTCTTATATTTGTAGTAACAGAAAACAGTTTCAGACTCCAAGTGTGTAATAAGATGTAAAAGTTACAATAACTGCTTGCAATAAATTTTTTTTCTTTAAAGGAACGATATGATATATTTGTGTCCTGAAGTCAGATGCAAGTTCTTGGAGAAAAGCTTAATTTTGAAAACTCATATAGAAAAGTCATATAGTGGTCTGGAAAAAGATGGCTCAGTGGTTAAGTGCACTTGCTGCTCTTGAAGAGAACCTAGCATTAGTTCCCACACCCATATGGTAGCTTACAACTGCCTGAAACTTCAAGTCCAGAGGGTCTGTTACTCTCGGGCCTCCAAGAGCATCTGCATTTAGATGGTGCTATAAACTCAGAGGGGCATATATGCATACCAATAACAGAATAAATCTAACAAAAACTTAGTCTTTTGGGAAGGATATTTGTAGACAGAAAAAAACTGTGATTATGCCAAGTTCATTAGTCTACCTGAATTATAAATTTTCATGTTACAAACTAAAAAATTTTTACCCATGAACTTCATGAGACTTAATAGCTGCCAGCAGTAGCAATCATAACTGCATACTAGTTCTTGTTCTGTCAATTGGAACACATGACATACTATTATAAATATGGTGTATTGTTATTATGCATGATTACCTAAGGAATTGCGATTATATATCCACAAATCACATTGTGGGTTAAATGAAGACTTAAATTCTGTTGGGAATTATCTGCATGATTTGAGTGGCTTTCAAAATGTGGACTATAGAATGCTAGCCTAGTACCTGATATATACACATATATGTGTGTGTGTATGTATGTATGTATGTATGTATGTATGCATGCCATATTATTCTAACTTCTGTGGCCTGATAAGATACTGAAGAGAGTCATTTTGATGACTTCTCTTCCTGCCACAGCCCTCTCCAAGTTCCTACACACAAGAACTTCATGGTTTACATGACTGTTCCAAAGAAAGGAATCTGTCCTCTGTACCCAAACTGCAGGGACTTGTCTTCTTGTGAACATTTTACCATCATTGATGACCCCTCAGTAATTCAACACCAGTTTGAGTCTCTAGAATTCTGGTTAGCTGACCTGGAAGGTGGCATCCCTGGGTACAGATAGGAGCAGTCCATGCTTCCACAAGGCTCCATGTGCATGTAAGGACAGAAACAGACTATAGATCTCATCTTAAGGGTCAGGGCAAGCCAGCTAGTAGGGTAAGCTGAGGTTCCTATGATACTGAATGGTATAAGGGCCATCATCTTAAACACAGCTTCAGATCAGTAAAATGATAATGTAGAGAGGTAATATAATTAATGGATTTCAATAATGTTCACTTTTCCATTTTTGTTTGTTTTTTGTTTGACTGATTTTGGCATATGCTGGTCCCAGAGTGGCTCTGCAGTTTTCCTTACCTTGTCTCAAGAGGGAGAAGGTGGGTTCTCTTTTCAAAAGACCAGGACACTCACAGTTGTTAGAGTATGGAGAAAATTGATCAAAATATTAATTAGACTTTTGTTTTGCTAGTTTGCATAGACAGATGGAATTCTGATCTTTAACAGCACCGTGACTCATGGAACTGCATGTGTACTAAGATGCCATTATTAACACAACAGTAGTTTTCAGCAGTTGGTAATTATTGGCATAATTAAACATTTATCAAGAAATGAGTATTTATCATTCATTAAACTTTCATTAAAAATCCATCTTAGCACAGGCTAGATTAGCCAGTGATTCTCACAAGATAACTTCTTAACTTCTGGCACCAATATAGATATTTCCATAACTGTGAGCAATTACTGGATTTCAGATGCATTTTGTATTAAGCATTTGTTAAGGCTTGGACCCAGAGTTAGAAGGTACTTGGCAATATTCTTCAGGGTTTGCAGTATTTGGCACTTTTTAGCAGCCTCACTAGGAAAATGTGTTACCCTTGGCAAAGGAAAGTTACTGCTACGCAAGCTCTGTAATGACATTTACATAGCTTAACTTCTTCCATAGATGGCGTATTTACATGTTTTAGAGATGGAATTCCATAGTAAACGCCAGAACTGAAGTAGTAACTTGTAGAGTCGCCCTCTAAATGCAACCATGAACCTTGTGTTGCCACCCTAAGGTCTCACGGAGCATGTCCTGTGTGCAGAGACATCCAAAGAGTACATTTAGATGTGTTGACCTAGATACCATTCCCATCCCCAGAACTGAGGAAGTGAGCAATGTGGAAACAGACCTGTAGAGATCCATCTGCCAGCTGCTCTCTGCTCCTTTACACTCATTCTCTCTTGTTTTTGTTAGCTGCTCACTACACCTCACCAGTATGATTCTCCAGAATTCCTTGGTGTTGTTTAGACATCTGGTATGTTAAAAACATCCACATCTTCTCAAACCTTAGTCATCTACATGGTAAACACGAGTTCTAGCTTTGAAAAGATATAGTACACTTCCTTAGCGATAGTCATGCTGCTGTGTAGTAGTAAACCAGGACTTGTTATTCCCAATCTTAACTTCAGTACCCATTGGTCAACCACTCCATATCCTGCCCTCTTCCACCACCCACAGCATCTTAGAGCCACCGTATCCCTCAGCTGCTCTAGATTACACAGTGCTGAAGTCATGCACTTCTCAATAAACTCATCCCCACCTCCAGCCTTGCTTTCATACCTGACAGGACTGCATTCCTTTGATGGCTAAGTAGTATTCCATTGTATATGTGTACCACTACTTTCTACCCAGTTCACCAGGTGATGAGCATCTAACTTGTTTCCATTTCTTGGCCATTGTAAATAATACACAATACATATGCAAGTACAAAGGAGTCTTTGGTATACTGATTTTATCACTTTAGATATACCCAGTAGTAGGAAACCTGGATCATATGGTGGACCAGTTTTTAGGTCTTTGTAGAGCTCTACCATCTATCTTCATAATGACTGTACAAATTTACTTGGCTATCAGCAATGTACAGAAGAGAAGTTGTTGATGTTTTCAAGTTTAAGTTATTCAAAAGCTGCAATTTTAATATACTTTTTATTTATTCTTTGAAGATTTCATACATGTATACAATGTATTTGGATCATACCCACTTTTTGCTTCCCTCCTCCAACTGCTCCCAGATCCCTACCCACGAAGTCCTTTCCCCAACAATAGCAATGTATATGCTATTGAGTCCAATCAGTGTTATTTCTTATCTGTGTGTGGTATAGGGCCTTCTGCTAGGGAAGGGGCCACCTCCATGAAGAAAGCACTCTCCTCCCCAGGAGCCATCAGCCACCAATTGTTCCTCATCTAGGGGTGGGAAAGTTGAAGTTTTCGGCCTGTTACCCCTGTAGTTACTTCCAGTGTTCTCTTATTTGAGTGGATGTAGAGTCCCAGCCTGTGCTTAGACCGGCTTGCTAGGATTAGCCTTTGTCCTGCACAGGTGTGGGAAAGCGTTGCCTGTGTTGGTGGTTCTGGGTGTGCTCATCAGCACTAGACACATGGGGAAGATCACCATCCGCTAACTAAGACTGCGCAGAAAGCCTCTCCACATGTATGCTAGTGCTTCAACTCTTATTCCATATTCAGCAACTTTGTTTTTGTTTTCTCTTGGGCAAAAAATTTACTGTATCAGTGCTTTTATGTCACAAGAATGAATTGAATTTGTACCCTTTAGTGCAAACAACAATAGACAGAGTGGTAACCTAGTGGAAAACAAATAGACACCCCGTCCCTTTTGGGGATTCAGAGAGGTTCAGAAAGATGGAGCTGACGGTGGAGAGGTGGCAGATAAAAAGAGGCCAAAGCAGGGAAGAATCCTGCGGTCATTTATTACTGTGCCATCTTCATAGTGTTTGCTGAACCAAGGTGCAGAATAATGATTCAGACAAATGGCGTTAATCATAGCAGCGGCCCCTTGGCAAGCGCAGTACCTTGCTCCGCGGCAGGAGACCTAATCAGATTCTCCAAAACTTGTTCCACAAAGAGAGAATTTTCTGTCTTTAGTTTTTCTGTGGATGTCTTCCCATGGGATATGTCACCTTTAAAAGAAACAGAGTGGTAAGAAATTGTTCCCTCTTCCTGTCTCCTTTCTCCAACCTCAGAAAGAATCATGTTCAACTTCATGATGAATATTTACAGTGGAACTGTATTATTTTTATATTTTCTTCATATTCATCCAATATGGGCAAGAGCTGTAATGACTAGTCAAAGCATATCTTCCACAGTGCTGATATGAGTTCATCTTACTTACTTACAAATGATTTTCAGTGGCCCTTTGCCTAATGGAACCAAGCTGTATTTCATGTGGGAGCTGCTGTTCTGTGAGTCAGAGAGGGAGCAAGGGAGGGGATGGGGAAGAGAGAGAGAGAGGGAGAGATAGATAGATGATAGAGAGATAGATAGAGAGATAGATAGAGAGATAGATAGATAGTAGATAGATAGATAGATAGATAGATAGATAGATAGATAGATAGATAGATAGATAGATAGATAGATAGATGATAGAGAGATAGAGAGATTCAAGGCTGACCAAAGGGTATTCCATGTGTGCTTATGAGGGTCTGCCCAGGGAGTTTACATAATGTCCTACTTGCGCTTATATCTGTGTCAGAAGCCAGTCAAAATAATTCCATCTGTTGTGTTGTGAGTTTTCAGTGATTTTTAAAACTATTAGCCTCATTGATAGACCATATTGGTTATTTTCAAGGATATAAGGTCATTAGTAAAACCATAGTTGTGTATACTTTCAGGTTCTTTAGTTGTGTGTATATTTCATCATCACTCTATCACACACACACTTGGCTGTTGTATAGAAGGGAAAACAATTCAGAGATGTGTTTATACATCATCTCGAGGGGGAGTTAACCTGACGTGGGAGGTTAGTGTCCACACTTCCAGTTCTGTGTTGATTTGCTGTTTTCTTCTTCATAACTCCAGGTAGACAGCCAGAGCCGCCATCTGATGTGCAGGTTAAGTGTAGCTGCAGGTAATTAGACATCATTAGAGGAAGGAACAACAGTCCTGAAGAAAGATGGAAGCTTTGCACTTGTGGCTGCATGGACACTCCATCTGTCATCTGTACAGCACCACGAAAATGAGTTGCAGCAGCCTTTGTATAATTTATAGCTCAGTGTGAGGAAATTAAGCCGTGAGTCACACTGCTTTGCATGATTAGCACTAATGTGTTTTGCAAACCCCCCCATGATAAATTTGGCCCAAAACTTTTTCTGTGATACCATTTTTGTTGCCCATTTACCAAACACTGGATTTGTTCTGCAGTTCTGAGATGGGTAGATAGCTGTTGTGTTCTAGATGTGACAGTCTGCTTTCTCCTACCACTGTGTCTGTTTGCCTCTACCCTTCATCTAAGCCTTGGTAGAGCAGCAATGACTGCCGTGCTATGTAGCAGCCTGGATGTCAGCCCGGCCCCATATCAACTCAGTAGTCAAGTCATTATTAATCATACAGTAAACTTCAAAGATTATATATATATATATATATATGAAATCACCGTGCACAGAAGGAACAGTGACTGACTGATATGTACTGGGCCTAGAGCCACTGTACATTACAGCTGGACAGCCTGTCCTGGGAAATTGTGTGTGTGATCAGCACATCCACCCTAACCTCTAGAATACATTCTCAGGGCCAGTTCTTGGCGTCTGAGGCTTCTTTTAGCTGTGATGCCTTCTAATAGGGCGAGGACTCACAGTAGAGTAGGATCTGTAGGTATTAGTGTCAGGAAGAATAATGTCTTGCTTGCCCTTTCTTATGGGTTATTGCATGGGTTATACAAAGATAGGGATGAGTTCACAGAAAACAAAGAAACCAGAGGTGGTGGGGACAGGGGATCGGTGGGGGAAGTAACCGAACTGCAGAAATACATGACTCCAACTGATGCCAGAAATAATGGGTGGCTCTTTTCTCCCAAAGCAGCAGCAAGCATGAGGGTGCCTGACATAAGCATTCCAGGCATCTTGCACTGGGAAGGTGAGCTAGAGCAGAGGGGACTAACACAGAGGGTGGCGAGCACTCTACAAACCCTCCCTAAGTTTTAGCAATAACTTCCCAACCTTTGCAGATGGATTACAGCGGAAATGAGAAAAATGGTGTCGTTCTGTGGTTTCATTTTCATTGTGATTTACATAGACAAAAACAGTGTTGATAGGGAGAAATATGATTTAGAGGTGGAGGGCAGTGTCACCTAGCAGCTCCTGAGTGTGTGTGGAGCCCTCATTGTTTCATAGGAGAGAATTTATACCATTCGTTGTTAAAATGACATGCCTGAATGAGTCAGACCTGCCTCATTCACACCCAAGATGAGGAACATGATTTATTATCTGTCCTTTGAATTTCTGTGAGCATTCTGTCTAAACTTTAAAAGGGGATTGCATTTGCGATTAAATCTTAACAAATGTTGTTTTAACTAGACTGCAATATATGTTATTGACAACAAGCAACTTTTCTTCTCAAAATAACATTGGTGCTTAGGCATGCAATTTACAAAAATGACAAGAAGGGTGGGACTTTTTCCAAGGTGAATGCAAGTTGACTGATTAGCTGGTATTTTAACTTGGATTCTTGCAAATTACAGACATAAGAAACCCTGCAATTTATATGTACTTTGGAAGTGAAAGCTTTAATCCCGTGACTCAGGAAAGTAAAGCGGTAATAATTTAAGTACCATATTTTATTTATCCCTCAGGGTTGTCAGCTGATACGAGAAGTATTTCCACTATTTTGGGGTTGCTGCCTTTGGCTACCTAATTGCTTCTTAGGAAGTAAGAGGGAAATTGCTTATATAACTACATGGAGAGTCTTTGGCAGCGTCGAGCCAAGGCATCAATCAGTCCATCTGGGTAAAATCACAAGCTGACTCCGATATTGCTAAATATTTATACTGTCAAATACACACAGACATCCAGATGAAAAGAGGCATTCATTACGAATTCTCCAGCTTGTCAGTTTAAAGATGTAGATTAGAGGAAAACCTCCCACTATGGTGCTGCATGCTCAAGAAAAGTCTATATTTAGCCATTCTGAGCAATAAATATCATCATATTGCCTCATTTAGGTAAATAGAGAATAAATATTGTCAAGATGATCTAGAGATAATGTAAACAGACCCCTGTTCAGAGTCTTTTGCAGGGAATTCCAGGACAGTGATGTGCTGGTGACGCTTCAGGGTTTGACCCTTTTTCCTAATCACGTACCCCTCCCCTTTTTTGGTAGCAAAGATGTGTTACTGACACATTATGGGGAAAGATGAAGGGAAAGAAATGAACCACAAAGGTGATTTTAAGTTGTGTGAATCCAAGCACTAATTAGCACTTGTGCCGCAGCATTGTCTTGATAGTCCCCAAGCTGCTGCTGCCAAAAATAGAGCTGTGTGCACTGGTGCTGAAGCCACTTCCCAGCTTAGCAGAGCTAGAGAAACCCTTGGAGCTCCAGAGAGCCGGGCCGCCCAAAGGCTTGGGCAGTGAGTGGCAGTCCACCCAAGCAGGCCTCGCCCTGGACTTAGTTTGGTACACACTGCTCTGTGATAAGAGTTCTTACAGAGGACTGGCCACCACAGAAGAGTGCCATACCTTGACACAGATCGGGTCTGTGCTGAAAAACTTGCACACAGACAATCCCATTGAATGTGTGTTCTGTCTAAGCAGTGAATATGGCCCTTTCCCAGGGGCACACACACTCTTCTCTTCACTGGTAATTGATAATTTTAGAAGTTATACTCGAAGGGAATTTTAACTGATGTCAAAGTTTTAGTTAATTACACTAGATGATTTTTTGAGATTAATAATTAACATCCCTCTTTATAACTAAATATCCATAATTAATCAGCAAATCATAACGTGAAGACTAATTAACTTCAAACTCAAATTCTAACAGAAAATCCATATTACTCTCCAGCATCATTAATTACCAAAGTAATCAAACTTATCTCTCACGGGTTGTAGCATAAAGCTCTGTGGGTTCATCAGCTCAGCCTTGTGTGCTAAAGCCTTTGCAGCGGACTCGGGGACAGTGATGAGACTCTGGGCTGCTCAGAGCTGGCCACATGCTTTCTGATCACCAAGCATGAGGGCAGCTAGGTGGGAACCCAGCAAAGCAGAAAGTTTCCGGACTCACCTTTCTTTCCTCAGAAGGTGAACCCAGGAGGTCTCCGATGAGAGGGTAGTTTAAGTTTGTCTTCAAAACAGAACCAAGCTCTTTTGTCTTTTTTTCCTCCTCATGAAATGCTAGTTGGCTAATATAAAACAGGTTAGTTAGCAAGAGAGAGAGCATGCAGTTAGCAGGCTCACAAAAATGTGTTGTTGCTTTTTAACAATAAAAATATATCAATCATTAAGTGCTAAAAACAACTAAAGTGGGTGATGTGAAGAAGAGAAATGTTACATACTAAAAAATTAGCATGGTGTCATGGTACTCCACATGGTACCCAGTTTGGGAGAACTGGCTGATGCCTCTGTGTGCTGCAGTGGACAGGTAGCTTTGTAGGGTTTTCTTTAGAATGTAGCAGTTAACAGTGTAATTAAAATCCAGCCTTCCATCAGTGTACCACCTAGTTTTCAAGTGCACACGTGGAATACTGTTCTTTTGTGTGGCAGCTGTAAAAATCCTCAGCAATTTCTACTGTCAAGAAAACTCTGGATAAATAGGGGCTGTTAACTTAGGCAGATATCGGAGGTTATTTGGTGGCAATCAGGAACTCGCGGCGCTTCAACTAATGGGTTATGATCAGAAACTGTTCCTAATAGCCAGCTAGACGGATCTGAATATGAAGATTTCTATAATTTTGTTGTCAGCTTGTGATGTACTCTAGTGCTAATTATTTGGAACAATTATGTTTTCCTAATAACAAAAGAAGCAGCAGTGAATTAAGCAGGCTCACCTTCAGATCTGCAGATAACAGTTTAAATGCACTTGCCATTAAGAAATAGCATTTCTTTTTGCTTTGTGGAGCCCTAATTATTTCAGATGCTTGTCTTTTAAAGCCCCTGCCTTACTTCTTCTAAACCTATTCCATGTGTCAGTGTACACTGACGACTTCAGTAACTAGTATTTTCTCGTTCTTCAGTTTTATGTCTGTACCTCCCATAGACTACTTACTTCATTTGGTTATTCAAAAACCATAATTAGTGTGGTAATTAACATGTAGGTCCTTCAGAGGAAGACTGCTAGGATCCTGGGACATCTTTTCTCATCCTGACTGATGTGTGGATGATAAAGAGACTAAGGTTGATGTGGTGACAAGATGTGTCCTCTTACATGGTAACTGTGCTGCAGGGAAATTCAGACAGGACCTTGGTCCACAGGGCCTCACGTTTGGAAAAAGTAATTATCCACACTGTTTCTATAATTCAACTAGGTGTTATCCTGCATTTGCAGCTGTCAAATCATTTGTTTTAAATGATTTTTTAATATCTTATGAATACTTGAAAGTTTTGAATTTTGCACATTATCTCCTACTTTTTTAATACAGAGGCCAGATTCATTCATTCATTCATTCATTTCTGCCTTCCCTTTCTTGTCTCTTTTTTCTCCATTACTTAGTCTTTCCTGACAGTTTATCTGAGGCATCCAATGCTAACTTCAGTCAGTGCAGGCCATATTTTCTAAATTGTAGTTGAAAAAGGCTCAACTTTGTTTTCCTAGAGGCTTTTTTGGTTCAGTTTCACCTTGTTATACTCGAAGGGTGTAACAGTTGACAGTGTTGCTTCAGCCATGGTGAATGAGTGGTACACAGTGAGACTTGACTGAACGTGAAAGTTCCCCGATGTTGGTACTGGCCCCTGCTCTGTGCTCATCTCAGTGAACATTTGGCTTTTAAGTTCCTGTAAGTAGAGTGCCTTTTGTCATCATTGACATCTGTCTCCAAACTCCTCGTGTTTTATCCCCCAGTAAGTCATATGAGAGGGTGAGATAACTTCAGGAGCATCTATCTGCTCTTCCTAAGTTCAGTGACTGCTCCAGGGCTTCAGCCGGCAGTGGCCAGAAAGGCAGGATGGAGACTTCAGTTTACGGTAGCAGTGTGGCAGAGGCAGTTCAACTCATGGCTAACTAGGAAACAGGATGAGGGACAAGAGCCAAGGTTGGTTATGCCCTTCGAAGGCTCATCCCTAGTCACATACTTCCACCAGCTAGGCCCTACTCCCAAAAGTTTCCAGAACTTTCCAAATCAACATCACCAGCTAGAGACCATGCATTCAAAACATGAGACAGTTCATGAGGGGCAGTTCAGTTTCAAACCATACCACTAACATTGTCTTTAGATAACGTCCTAAAAATGCTGCTAGATTGTGGCTTCTTCACGGGCTGAAATTCAGAGTGAAATCGGAAGAGGACACTGGCTGTTGGATGTAGATGTTGGTAGAGAGCAGTTGTCAAGGGGACTTAGGACTACAGGTTAGTTCCATGCTTGTTATGTCACAGAAAGACTGGCTGCTGGTCTGTGTTTAAAATGGAGGGACAGCTCTGTCTTGATATCTTATTATCAAGTAGGTCTGTCACGTTGTTTTGACTCTACTCTCAGTTGCTGAGAGTTCACTGCAGTTGGTTTTGAACCAGAGAATAATCAAGCCTCTTAGCATTATGAGCTCTTGAATATTTTGTGCCTGACTGTGTGTATTTGTTAGATCATGTTTGCCAATGAGAACATAGAGTTGCTATCTGTAGACTTCATTTATATTGGCCTATATTGGTGCTGCTATAACTGAGTCTGTAGATCTATTGTTTCTGATAGGTAGTTGTGGCCCTTAGCTTTTCCTTCTTTCTTTCTTTCTTTCTTTCTTTCTTTCTTTCTTTCTTTCTTTCTTTCTTTCTTTCTTTCTTTCTTTCTTTGTCTCTTTTTTAATTTTTGAGGTTGTCATATTCTTCCGTTTCTCCCTTCCCTTGTCTCCTCCAAACCTCCCATGACCCCTGTCCACTCTCCTTAAAATTCATGGCCCATTCTCTCATCGTTACTGCATGCATATATGTATACAGTGCTAGATAAAGCTCTTTCTGTGGAGTGAGGCCTCGTGGGCTTTTCCCCATCCAGTGTGGCATGTCTGTTGGTGCCATCCTTGTTCAGCTCTCATTTGTGCATTTTAAAATTTCTATTATGTAAATATACATGGATGGGGGTTATATGTGCATGACTGTGGTACCCATTGAGACCAGAAATGGATGGTAGATCCCCTGGAGCTAGAGTTATGGAAGGTTGTGAGGTGCCTGACATGGGAACTGGGAATCAAACTCAAGTCCCCTGCCAAAACAGCAAGTGCTCCTAACCACTGAGCCATCTCTGTAATCCATATAGAGCCCTCTTAATACCCTTGAGTCTGGTAAGAGGAGGAAGAAGCTTTGAAAAATTCTGTGGGTGTACATGGTGGTCTAACACAACACACACACACACAAACACGGAGGAACTGTGCCCCATTCCTGAGCTATAATTACTTGGAAAAGGTTGTTCTAGAGATGATGAACAATGGGAGCATGTCCTGTGCAGTAAGCACGGTAGCCAGACAGGTACACACCATGAGCCGCTCAAGGTTATCTCTCCCTAATGCTGAAGGTATTTGGCAAGGAACCTGAGGCCCCATATTATAGACATAGAAACTGAAGCCCTTAAAGCTTGAAGCTGCCCACACAGGCAGTGCATTACAGCCCAGGTCTACCTGAATCCTGAATCTGTCTAAAGACATGATTAGGGAAAATGATTAAGGAAAGGACCAAATCATCAACAGTTAGGAGCCTTGCTGTTCATAAGGGAATGTAAAAGGAGACAGCTGTGACCATAGAGAAAGCAAAGTTCCCTCCCCATCCTCACCACAGTAAATCCCTCCTAAACACTCAACAGCTTGAAATTGCCTTCATGATGCCATTTTAGCAGTGACATAGAGCACTGGTAAGGTCCTGAGTCTCTCACATTTGGCTGGTGTTGAAGCACACCAAGAGAGCAAACAAGCCACAGCTGACTGAGCGGGCAGCCAATGCTCAGCTACTGTGTGACTGGAAGACAGACAGTCAAGAACAACGTTAATTAACCACGGCTACAGCCATCTGGTAGACAGTCCAGATTGCTGTCTTCCTAGAAAGCAGAATGAATGTAAGGGTGGTCTTTCCTTAATGAGGTGGAGTAGATATGGACAAAACTCAAGTCTAGATGGCAGGAAGAAGCCCCTGGCATCACCCATAGGCAAAGCACCATGCTTAGCTGACAAAGACCACCTGGCTTCAGACAGTTACATCTCTTCCTCACAGGCATCCAATTCACACATACTTAGCATGTCAGAATATTTCTTATTCTTGAATTTCTGTATCACCAATTAAAACTGAAACTTAAAAGTAAATGATACTCTAACTTAATGATTTGAGGGCTTCTTAAACGTAAGAGGATTATTTGAACAATAAGGCCTGCATTGTCTCTAAAATGAACAGGAAACTAAACAGATGGGATTTGTCCTCAAGTGCTAAAACCAAGCCATTGAATTATTTTGATATCTAGTGATTTTAAAAAGGAAGTCATAAGTGTCTTTTAGAGTCCTAATAATCCATAGATAAAAAACAATGCTTTTGACCAGTGTGTACTCATGCAACCATCTCCACAACCATCTCTGCAACCAATTCAAAATTGTCACATCAGAAAGTCCCATTGGTTCATCATGGCATATCCCTACTCCCTAGCACTCAGCCCGTGACTTTCCCTGCAATTTTGTCTCTTCCAGAATGACACATCAATGGAATTGTCAGTGTGCTGCCTTTTACTTGATTTAATATAATACTTTTGAGAGTCATTGCTATGGTTGAGCCTAACATCACTTAGACTCTTTACTGAGTAGTATTCCATTGTATGGATGTACCAGTATGTTTGTCTATTCTGCTGGTAATAGGTATTTTGGTTGCTCCTACTTGGGAATGATTATAAACTATAAATGTTTAGCACAGGTTTCTAGTTAAACTTGTGTTTTTATTTAATTAGGAAGGGTATTATGGAAAGATATGGCAAGAAATGACCAAGTTGTTGTCCAAAAATGATTGCACCACTTTGCATTCTCATCAATAATATGTGAAAGTACCAGTGCCCCATGCCTTCCCCAGCACTTAGTGTTATTGGCCTTCTTAAATTCTAGCCAAATCCTAGTCCTTAGGTTGTGTAGCTCGTAATGGGTTTGGTCTGCATTTTCATGGTGACTGCAGATGTCAGTTTCTTTTTTTTAGTGTGCATTATGCATGAAATGCTATAATTTTTAGAGAAGTGCTTCCTGTGAGTTAATACATACTCCCTATGCTGTGGAGCCATATAGGTCCTGAGGCCCTTCCTGTACAAGCTTGCTGATTATTTGAGGATGATTTTTTTACAACCTGATTTCCACCCCAGGTCCCTTTGTGGCAGCCTGTGGAGCACCTTGCTTTCTCCCTTCTCTTCTCTCTTCCCTCCCTCCATTGGGTTTTCTCCATCCGGTTTGTGGGTGAATCAAGACTCTTCTATTGATGAGTGCTGCCTAATGACAAGAGCAGTGCTGTCCTCCAGCTGAGGAGATCGATTAGCAGGTGCAGGTTCCTAGACTGTCTTTTCGAGGCAGCTGGCATTTGATCAGGGACAGGATGTTTTCCTCCACTTTGAGGAACGCTTACTACCTTTTTCTTTTCTTTTCTTTCTTTTTTTTTTTTTTTGAGAATTTTATGCATGGTACAGTATGTTTGAGTCCACTCCTCCCCTGCAGCGTCTCCTGTCCTGACCACCACTTTTCCCTCCTAACTTCCATTGCTCTTGAGCTCTCCCTGCTTCCTCTCCGCTGTCTCTAACCCACTAAGACCCTTACCTTGCCTGCACTTGTATGCATGGAGGGCTGTGTGTGTGTGTGTGTGTGTGTGTGTGTGTGTGTGTCCATATTCATATCCATGTGTGCTAGGGGAAGTACAATACATGTGTAGATATGTAGGCGTACTTTTCTGTCCCACCAACCAGTTCCCAAATAACCACACAGAGACCTTATTATTAATTATAAATGCTTAGTCAATGGTTCAGGCTTGTTACTAACTAGCTCTTACATTTTAAATTCACCTGTATTTCTTATCTATGTTCTGCCATGTGGCAGTACCTTTTTTCAACATGGCAAGTTCATCTTGCTTCTCTCAGCATCTCCTCTCAAATCCTCAGACACTGCCCCTCTTCTTCCCAGCATTTTCTCTGCCTCAAAAATACTGTCTAGCCATCTGCTGATCAGTTTTTTATTAACAATGAAAGCAACACATCTTCAAAGTATAAAGGATTATTCTATGGCATTTCCCTTTTGTCTAATTAAAAAGGAAGATTTAACATAATAAAACTATATAATAAAAACAGTTATCTAGAATTACAGTTACAGTATCCAGTCTTTTTGCATTTGGCAAAATTAGAGAAAATATTCCATAATCTATCTTACCTTTGTGAGTCCAAAGTTTTATACCTAATTTACATTTTATCATAACTAAGAAAAACTTCAATTATTTAGTCTTGAACTCCATCAAGGACCCCTGAACAGTGTAATGTTACCTAACAATAAGGACATCTGGCTGCCTGGACAGTTACCCAAAGTTCTTCTGTAACATTGGGGTATCCAGCTTTGGCCTACAGGTCTAGTATATCTGACAGACATTTTTGTGAAGCAGGAATTTTGAAGGACTGTCCTACCTTGTCTTGGCAAAGTTTGGCGGTAGCTTTTTTTTTTTTTTCCCATCCTGCTTGTCCAATTTGGACAGTATACTGTTAGCAGTTTAGGCAAGGGCAGTTTTTTTGCCCTAATGGCTAGATTTTGCCATAAAGAAAGCAAACTTCGTATGGAGATTCTTCAATGCCCATCATCTTCCTTTTTGAAGTAAATTGGTACGGTCAAGAGCAAACATGTCTCACTGTCATGAAAAGCCTTAGGTTATTAAACATATTAAATGCCATATTCTGTAGGTCTTTGAAGTGTTTGAAGACCATCTGTCTATCTAAATATATCTGTTTAACCTTAAAAACATACCTAATATGACTACAAGTTTGATTATTATAGATGACTACTAACCTTTATTTTTAATTAAACATTACATTTTTAAATGAGTTGCATAAGCATAATTCCCCAAACAAGAGTAGAAGTATATATATATAACATAGCAAAAATAACTTTAAATTTGTGTCAGTAAACCAAAACCCATACCAACGTCAAATATTTTGAGATAAATGGTTGTTGTTCAGATTAAAGTAGATTCAATAATCTACCCCTCTCCTATCCTCCTTATATAGATACATTCATCTCAACAGAAACTTTTTAAAATCCATCTCTCACTAACTGAAAACAGGTTATTTTTTCATTTTTATTAAAATGCATATTAATAGCTGAACCATTCAGCTTACATTGTGCACATA